CAACTGTGATAAACCAAGGCCGCCGGGTTAACAAGGGCCGGGGCTCAACCCGCCATCCGATCACACGCCCTGACTCGATGGCGATTGCTTACAATAAACTATACGGCTGAGTTGCGTCGCAGCTAGTGCAATGTGGCCATAGATTCACCATAGCTGCTCACACGCCAAGATTCTGCGCGACCACGATTCTCTAATGCCTAAAACGATTTAGCAAATTACAAAGCATCCAGCAAGTATGTGACTTGGGTAAAAACGTGGCTCACGTGAGCTCTAAAGTCGATTTGTAAGGACCACTCATGTACCACCTCTGACCTCCTCCCTGAACAGTCTTCGGCTTTGAAAGCTGCAGAGGGACCAGGGAGTGCACTGAGACGGTTATCCGCAGAATCCACGGCTCACCCGAGCCTCAAACTCCCTTTAATCCACGTCCATCACTTTTCATGTACTGCTGCGCTTTCTCGACGTCTGTATCACATTCTGTCGTTTACTGTTGAGCACTTATATGATCAAAACTTTTTCGCCACATCGGCAGCGTTGGCTTTTCCTCAATGTAGTACCCTTCCTTGAAAAAACTCAATCCTCAGCCAGCTCATGTTTTTTGCGCCTTTCGATACTACGACATCTCAGTTCTCTATTTCTCTGCGCTCTTGCGCCAGCAGCTTCATAAAAGCCCAGCTGTCACATGACCGGGAGAGTGCCAAAAGAATCGTAAGTTGCGCTTATTCGCGCACGACAGTGGGCGGACGTTTCCTTAACTTGCCCTACCGACCTTCAACTAGGAGCATCCAGATTTCATGTTAGGCAAGGTCATGGTAGACACTTATGACTACTTTTAGTCATACATCATCTATTCTCGACCAATTCCACTTAAAATCGCCCTCATTAGCGGGAGCGACGTCGCCCACGACACGCCCACTGGGCGCGCGCGGGATTAAACGGTTCTCTCGCCACGTAACCGTCTAGCTGAGAAGACATCAACTGCATTAGGTGTAAGCCTTGAGTAGGGGAAAGAATACAGGGAACGCCAGTGAGTGGTCCTCCTCTCCTCGCCCTCCCCCTTCCCACAACTGCGTTAAACTGTTTAGCCTAAGAATACCGGGTAAAGAGGCTCCGAAGTGAGTGAACCAATTCAACCACTTTGGAGCTTTTCCCTGTCTGCCCTAGGCATGTCGAAAAACTTTTCCTTATAGTTAGGTTATGGATCATTAGCTTATGTTCAGCTAATGAGCATCAAGGATTGAAGGAGACGTTTGGGCGTAACCTGGCGTAATTCGGCTAATGAGAGCGTCTAAAGGAGTTCAATTGTAAATCGACATTGCCGTAGAGGAGAAAAGCGAGGGTGAGAGTTTCCGCTCAGGAGAAAAGGTGCTTGGGTGTGGTGAAATAATTTTTTCGGGCAACAAGTTGGTTTCAAATGGTGTAATTACTGTGTGATCCTAAATGACACAATCGAGTGGTTTGTCTTCAAGCCACGCACTTGCAATCAATTCCAAGCTTATTCAGAACGGATAGTCGTTGAAGTGCACCTCAGGTGGATTCCTCGTGTGTATTCCTCAATAACTCAAGCATTTCTAGTGAAGAAAATGGGAAGGAAATTCGCGAAAGGAAACAAGACACGCAAACGCTTAGTCAAAACCAACTTTTTCCCAATGAGAAAACGCGCTCTAGTGCAAAAACCGCGGCGCAACCGCTTGCGTATAATAACATGCACTGGGCTTGATCTTTCTTTGATGTTTTTGACTTGTTCCTGCATTAGTTCATTACTTATTACTACACTTTTTCAATCTTTTTTGTGGGTTCTGTTCCTCATCTCTTCTATTCTTTTACTTCGGGCCAGTTTGCGATATAATTATAACGGGAATTTCTGAATATTGAGGTGTGAAGAGTTTTCTGCTAATGTGTATTTGTCTGAATTTGTCGTTGTCTTTATTTTTATTCGCTTGAATGTTTTCGTTGTCCAACCATCCAGTTTCGAGCACTTTGTAGCGCACCCTCGCGTGCATAGTAAATAAATAAATATGAGTTGAATTTCAATCACGATTCTCTTATCACTCGTTTAACGTAAGGGTGAAAACAGACAGTGCTATCCAAATGCTTTCTTTTATTCCATGCTTTTTCCATTTTTTTTCTCCTGTATTTTATTTAAATCTTTGGAACGCTGCTTTGAAGTGGCCAGACGACAACCATCTCATGAGTTATACCTGACCGGACATATCTTATGCTACCAGATGTATTTTCAGGGTATTTAAAAAAGAATGAGTGAAATCCTACGGTACTTGTGTGAAGTGGCCTCCGGGCAACTTCCCATGAAGGAAATCACCCATGTAAGTTTTGTATTACATTCAGACGCCTACAAGGGTTAATAAATGTGATATTCAACGATGTCTGTAATCGTATTTTTGACGTTCAGAATAACGAGAAGTACTATGCATTCGGTGATCGCGCTTATCACAAGGATACGGAAACAAACCTTCTCGTGAGTTAACTTTCAATAAAACATTTTTTTATAATCTATAGATTCAAGTGTTAGGTTATTTGCTGAATTTTTTTCTCCGGTATTGTTCACGCATATTTTCACGTTTCCTTAAAGGTTGTTTCACCATTTCATTTCAGTTCTATTTTTTTCGCAAAACTCCATGCAAGTTACCTAGCAGCTCGGTATGTGTCGACGTTTTGAGCTTCCGCCAGCGTTTTGAGCGGCTAGGGAAGTGTAGGTATCGACAGCCGCTGGAAACGCTCCTGGGCGCTCAGAACGTTGGGCGCTAGCGAACGCACATAGCGCCGGCAGGCGCTCAAAACTTGCTTGGCGCTGAGTATAAACGCATTTTAAAGTACTGTGACTTCAGTGACGAGGAAATCGACGACGCGTGTTTCAGCGCGTCGACGCCCTACCTTTTTAAGGGCGAGCCAGCGCGATAGACGCGAACGCAGCCGCGGACGAGAATCGACGGGCGCCGGCCGCTTGCGTTTTGAGGGAAAGTATAGGATAATAGTTAAGGATGCCTTCATAAAATCTTACCCTTCTATTCCTCAATACTCTTCCGAAGCATTAGGGCAGTGCTTATCGATTCTCCGTCTGCGACTGTGTTAAGCATTGAGGCGCTCTTGCAGTGATAGATCCTCGACGGGCGTCATACGAAGTCTGTACGCAGCCTTATATATGTCATTATCTGTGAGAAAAACAATAGCTTCACTGGCCACTTCGTTGGTACAAAAATTCAAGCAAATCTCGTCGTTATGCCGAAGTTTTACGATGCGAGTTGTCTGACTGCGGTTAGTACCCTGAAAAAAATGACTTCAGGTGTACGGTAAGCAAAACGACTACTATACAATAGATGCTCTTCTGTTTCTTTGGGAACATCGTGCGAAAACTCATCCATCCTATGTTCGTGATGCTACAGCTGCTAATGTCAAAGTCGTTTCTCGCCCAGACAGGTGAGTAATCCTTCTGTGCTATAATTTTTTTTTCGAAACCTTGTATGCTGTGCTTCATTTTTTCGAACCTCTGTAGTTTTTTAGAAGGGAGATCCTTGACTATCTGAGCGGTAATCGACTTGAAATTCCTGCAAATCATAACCCTTCACATGCTCCTGCTCCTGGTATCGCTATCAGTCGACTTGTACCGGAAACGATTGAAGAGCCGGAGGCGAAGAAGTTGAAGTTGGAACCCAATGCTCGGTACGTTGTTGTCAGCTATTCATGCGTGATTAAAGCTTGCACGTGAAATCTGAAATGTTTCGGCCCTCTTAGTCCCCCTCCCCTTCAACAAGAATGGGAAAGTCCCTCTCCCATCCTTATTGAATCTTGAGCAGGGTACGGTTGGGAAAAGTGCCGTTGGAGACGGTTTTATGCTCGACGTGAAAGTTAACTTATACTGGGAATTTTCTCTCAGTTTAGTGGAGGTGGGACCAAGCGGAGACCCAAGACTGACGCAATTGGGCCTGGGTGAGGGAGCAGGAGAGGGGCGTTTTGCACTTTTGCTACTTACCATCGTCTTGTTGAGCAAAGTGGAGACCTGCGAAATCTTGTGAAAATGAAAATCGAAATGATCCTAGCCAAGGTTTGTAGGAACCACCTACCAACTCTTGTAAAGCAGTGAAGTAGTAGTGACTTAACGAGCTCTTGCTAGCTTCACAGTAGTTCACAGGTTGCACCAGAGTGAGACTTGTAAACCGGAACTGCTCAATTAGCGGAAGTGCAACATGCGCACACCCCTCCCCCTTCCGCTCTCACCCAAAAATCGTAGTCATATAGAAGGTGCGGACCCCATTACTTCAGTTGTGATATGCATCGTCCCGTCTCAAGTAAACCATGATGATGTCACTGAATTCGGAAAAACTAGCGCTGTGCAACCGAAGTCGTGTAGCACAGGATGGCCCGTTTATCTTGCGCAGGTCCGGGACTTTCGCACAAGGCCAGCCAAGCCTTCTCTGGGACGGTGAATTGGCGAGAGGTTTTCGTTTGCACCACGCATTGTAGAATGCGAGAGGTTTGTCTAGATGGCTAAGAGCACTGACTAGTACGTTGATCCCTTGCAACCCGTTGTTAGGCAATGTCGCGGTTCAATAGTTCATTGTAGAATGCGTGGTACAAACAAAAGGAGCTGCTCAAGAAGGTCGAAGCATCACTTTCCATTAATAGCAATCATTATAGGCCTCCGATTTGATCACTGCTCAACAAGCGAGGGCGATCGATCTCATCGCGAAAGTACGAGCTCTGAATGATATCGCTCACGCTGAAAGATCGCTGCTCTTCAAAGCAAAAAGGCTGACATGCATCAAAAGACTAAAATCGCTGCTGTTGATCCGTGAGTCCATGGTGTCTTCAGTTTCTTATAACTTTGATTAGCTCCACTTCTGTTAACTATACCCTGAAATTCATCACCGATTTCAGGGAGATAAATTGGCTGGAGGCGGCACCAACTGAGCCCCTCGTCACCCGGTATGCAATGGATGTACGTAAAGTAGAACGTGTATACAAAACACGAAAAAGTGTAATGAATGCTACCAAGAAGACATATACATTCTGGTTTGGAGGCTGAAATTGAGTCAGAGGTAAGGATAGAGGCATTTCGTGCTGCTTAGAGAATGGTGCCAAATACGGCCCTGCTCACGAAATTGTAGGTTTCGCCTCTTCCTCCGGGTAGACGGTCAAGACAATCGTAGCTGGCCCACCGGTGCGCCCAGGGATAGGCGCGATGTTTTCTCATTTCACATTAGCCTGTCGATTGGAGCACCGAAATTCATGTAGACTTATCAAATCGTGGACGTTTGAGGCTGTTTCCGGTTTTACGATGTCCATTTTCGCCATTTATGATGTGAAACGTCGTCATGTCACGGAGCGCGACGTTCGCACGCAATGTCCACGCTGCGCCGGCGAGATTGGCGATTCTCTGTAACATATCAATTGTAACATATCTTGTAAATATCATCTCTTGTAACATGTAAACAATCTTCCCCATCCTCCAACTAGTCTGACACGATCTTACTTCGCAGGCCAAATACGACCTGCATTCCCTGCCTACACCGACTGCAGCGTTAGGATCTTCTCTTTGCTGGAGATTCACTCAGCGCATGATGTGCTTTGGTGCGGGAATGTGTTTCAAAAAACTGACAGCCTAAGACGGGGCTATGAGAGTTTTGAGATGTTTAGAATTTTTTTTCTAATGTTTACAATTGTAGTCTCGTGAGGAAGCTGCGAGATTGAAAGAGCGAGGAATCGATTCGACGAAATCGCAGCCCGCTAAGTTTGTTGGAATGTATAACAGATATGACCAAGAACGCTTCGGAAAGGTAACCGTCCACCATAGTTTAAATCGCGAGAATCCTCTCAACATGTTCGATATGTTTTCAGCTGAATGAGTTCCAAACGATGGGCACATCGTCATTCGTTGGAACAAATCTCAGTTCGATCAGTACACTGGAGAATCGACCCTTGGACTGTGAGCCACGTTAAAGAATTTATTTATGCTTCTAGTAGATGTCGTGAACAACCGGCACAGAAAAGTTGCGTGAACTCTCGAACTCGGCTTCCCTCCAGGGCCAACGCAAGCTTGCGCCAGATGGATGGGGGCCGGGGCCAGACCGTGTATTAGTGGATGTTCTTATCCTTCAGCCCAAGATTTTGTCTGGGAGATCAAGAGCAATATATACCAACTCCCGCTATTCGTCGTGTAGGCCACAAATAATTCGCATATCGGTGAGGCGCACTACGATCACGAATTGACACCCGCACCGTAGAATACGTGCCGGTATTCCCCAAATGGGATCGATCAGTCCTGTATGTCACCTAAGCATACGTGGTTGAAAACGAAAGGCAATTTCCAGCGCCGAACTCCTCAATTATTCTAGTCTTTGACTGCAGATATCTCAAGCCAATCGGAAGATTGACTACGGGCAGCATCTCTTGAGGCTAATGTTTTCGTGAGTAGGCGCGTCTTTTATGGAGGCACTGCAAAGTCCAACTGCATGATCATAACAACACACCAAAATGTCATTTCTGATCCATGCGAACGTGAGCTGGTTCGGAGTAACAGAATCCTAAGACAGTAATGTAAGTTAAGAATTTATATTCCACGAAGATACAGCGTGCCTGTCGACATGGCGAAAAATCGAGGCTGACAGGAAGGCTTCGAAAATTAGCAGCGAAGTTGATGTGTCGATAAGCAGAGACTTCTAGGCTCGCATTTGGTCAGCAGAAGGTCCTGGTCCTGGGGGAGAATTCTGCGAGGCTTGTTCCCGCTGCCACGCAAAAGTTCTTCCTTCATAGGAGTCCCGTGGACTTTTCCAAGAATTTTCCACAAAAAAAACTGCTGAAACGCCGTCTACGATAGGGGGGAGAGGGGTGATCCATCCGCTAGTAGGAGTGATATGAACACAGGCGAAAGCGGTATATACGCGGCGAAAATCTCTCAGCGAAAACGATACAGATCTGAGGTTCAGAACGATTTTCGACTCGAGTATCTGACGAACGATAGGCGACCCCAATGGGAGTTTAACGTTGTGGATAGCATCAAATTTGAAAAAAGTTTATTGTTCCAAATGCGATCCCTTCCCAACAACGACCAGATATGACCCCCACTTGGGATTCCTCTGAGAAAGACGTGCCTCCTGGTTGATACTTCACAAAAAAGATTGATCTATGCGCTCGACCCTGTGAGAGAGGTGTCAAATGCTGTTCTCATGTTTGAAAATTGACACTATCGTTTGGAGCAGCATTTTTAATTGAGAATGTGTTTTTAAAGGTCCTGGGCGCGATTGCTGGAAGCGAGCGGTTGTTGCCAACGTCACTGGTGGAAGGGCTGCAAGCGGGCGCTTGGTACACTCCACTCATCCCTTGCACCATTGGCGTTGGCGGCAACCGCCCGCCCACAGCGATCGTGCCCACTGCCTTTGAAAGACCTTCCGTGTAAAACTGGGCTGACGTGATGCGGAAATTTCTTTTTGCACAAAAAACAGTTAGGTTCATTAACCAAAGAGTTCTTCCTTCTTGGGCTTAGGCAATTTTCTCTGTTTCGTACAAGCGATCCTTTGAGTGCCCTTACCGCTTAGCCGGTTTGCTACCTAAGGTTCCAAGTACTTTTATTAGTTGTTCTCCAAGTTTTTATTTCTCTGCAGCACCTGGTATTGTTTTGAAATGTACATCAGAGAAATATGTTACTATACAATTTGAAACGTTTGTATGAGAGTTATGTGGTTTTTCTACGATGCTACGTTGCAGCAGTGGAGAATCAGAATCCAGACGAAGCGGCAAGAAGAACCGCTCTGGCTACGACGATACCTCAAAGCGTAAGCACTCCTGATGAACCGAAAAAGCGAGTCAGCCGTACGCCAATCATTATCATACCGTCGGCTATGACTTCGTTATTGACCATTTTCAACGCTCAAGACATAATTCAGGCAAGTTTTGGAATCTCCTTTGCTTTTTCTCTGCATTCTACAGCATCTGTTCCTGTCCAGGATATGAATTTCGTGACAACAGAGGAGAAAAGAAAGGAGAAAAATATGCAGCGAAAGTCTCAGATTTATATTCAGCGAAAGAAGAATGACACCTCAGATAGGTTTTTTATTTCATCTAGAGTTGCAAGTTTCATTTGTATTAGATGGAATTGGACTTGCGGTTTCAACTCAGTTTTTCACGTGTTGGTTGGGAGGTCCATATCGCGGCGAGATGAGCGTTGTGAGTGGAGTTGCGCGTGCGGAATTCGAACCGGGACCTGTCTGGTTTATAATATGTTCCGCTGTAAGCGTAGCGCCGAAGTGACAACGATCCCGTCTTCCTCATTGGCGCTCCTCCTATTACGGTGAAAACAAGCGACGCACCGGCGAGGAAGGCACGTTAGACGCGAGATCCCGCCCCTGCGGTTATCGCGGAATGTGACTCTTAATTGAAAGTGGCGTGATATGTAGAGCCATCTTGTTATGAAACAGTAACTAGCATCGCACCGACGTAAAGATTTCCTACCCGACACTCCATTTTTTTCAATTTCGCCGCTTTAGAACTATCCCCTAGTACTGAAATTTCCTTAATTCTGCCCCTGCTCCCCCTGGTGCAGTATTTTACTCATTCGCTAAGGTTTTTTTGTTCTGTAGCGTGAAAAATAACGTTCATGCCGAAGAGAAAGTAGGTAAGGTGGTCTAACCTGCGATGCGGCTTGAGTACAGTCGTGAATGAAGGGCGCGGTGAGGCGGAATGTGTCTGTCATGACGTCAAACCCGTTTTCTCCACAGTTGTTGAAGCGATCAGGGGCTGTATCATATTGTTCGCATTAGTCGTTTGCCACCGATTTTTGTCGCTACGCTCCAACAAGAGGTGGAAAGGGGTCTCGCGCCGCGCCAAATACATCCCGCCTGACCACGCCCCTTCATCCGCAGCGAACACGACTGTGGCGCTGAATGTGGCACTGTGCGAGCGGCACCTTCAGTAAAAGTGCTAGAGGCTCTTTGTGATGCGGTTTCTCCGCGAACTACTCGGACCTGCTGGCTGAAAAGCTGAGCTGCAGCTCAAGTTCCTCTTAACCTTGACGTCAGCTTTTATACTTATTCTAAACTTCATCTTGTTTACTACCCTACCTTATTGTGGACCAACCGAACAAATTCACGGATGCGGAGTGGGATCGTGTGGTTGCAGTTTTCATCACGGTACGTTCCAATGAGTTTTCCGGTCTCTTTGTTCAGAGTTACAACAGACGTTCAGGGACAATTGTGGCAGTTCACAAGCTTTCAAGCGGTGCACAGCATCCAAGTAGAGATATTTTGCCAAAAATTCCGTGCTTGATTGTTCATTATGCATTATCTACGTGGTTCTCTCCTAAGTTGTTTTTTTCTTCTAATTCCGAGTCTCTTTTCACTAGGAAAATTGTCCTTTAATAAATTCCAGACGGTGACACACATGTGCTGTGTCACCGTAGGCCTTGCATGGAAAGGCTGCCGGTCACACATGCAACGCCAACGAAGTGCGTCGCCAGACAGGTGCAAATCGGGTCGACGCGTCTCTCTCTCTCGCTCTGCGCCCTCCCAAACGACTTACTGTTCTTAAATGAGCGGCGCAGACGACTAGAGAATGGCAAGTGGCTTTCATCTAGCCTTCTTCCCCACTTCGGATAGTCTACGCGCGTGCCTACATTATCCTGGAGCTTCTTGTCTATCAATTCTAGATTGACCCAAATGTGGCGAAATGGAGTGTGACTAGGCTACCAGTTTCTCGGACGACGCGACACATGGATAAAGCCAGATTCAGAGTGTTCTGGGAAGTTTTGGATCGCTGGATCCCCGCCAATCGACCGCATTTGAGATGGTGATCAGTGGCATAAAGTGCGCTCGCTATTGTGTATTTTTATTGATGAGATAAGTTAATAATAAAAATGTACAAACACTGTGTGCACTACAAGATCATCGAGATTCTTCGATTCGGTTGCTTGACTGATTGAGTGCAGTACGAAAACTTGTGGATGTTTTGCGACTTGGGGGGGGGGGGGGGAGAAGAGGGGCATTTTCTGGCTCGCTTGTATTTTTTTGTTTGTTCGTGTTAACTCACGTCTTAATTTGATGAGACCTGTAAGTTTTTGTGAAGTGTAGGCGAAAGTCGTGCTGTTGCACAGCTTTACATGAGTTCACAGATTTTTTTTTCAGGAGGCATTGGTAATGATCGGTAGGGACTAGCAAAATGTCCTCACCAACAGGAACTGTACCGAATGTGGATAATTCGGTTGCACTCTCAAATTTACATTCTTCCAAGCGTTCACTAACAATAAGCTGATAGGAGTGCGTCGTAGGAGGGCAACTCGCTACGTTGCACTTGTGGATGTCGAGGTGACCAAGGGGGTGCATTTTGTACTATCATTGGTCCTTAATTCCGGTTTACAAGTCTCTGGCGAAACCCTGTGACCTCTAGTGAAGCTGGAGCAGAGTCAAGAAGCCATCATGTTAGAACCTTTCTCGAGAAGAGGCTGTCTAAAAGGGTTGACACGTTGGTGGGAAGGAGCAAAAGTGCAATATGACTCTCCCCCCCCCCGTCGCCAAATTGCGCCGGGAACGTCTCTAATTATTGGTCACTGATGCGTGAAAAACGTGCGTAATGTCGTATACTGTGACCTCTTCTTGCACGCTCAATAGTCGATCCCTAGGCTTTGGGCGTATTTTCCTATGTTTCGTCTGTAGGTAGTGCAGGCGATTCCACGGATCCACGTCCAGTTTCAGCGAACAGAATTGTGTGAAAGGACTTTCTTTTCAAATTTATTCCTGTGAAGATTTTCGTAGTAAACAAAACAAAACATTTCTATTGGCAGTAAAACAGGTTTTATCGCCTTCGCTTTGGTGGAGCTCTTGACTGCTTCTTCAGATCCGAACCTGTCTTGGGAGGTGCTCTCCCCTTTGTTCTAACTTCTTTAGTCTTTTTCTTGCCCTTCTGTGCGGCTGCTCCTTTAGGTGGGGGTTTCTGTTTGGTAACCTTGGGCATGAAGGACTTCTTAGCTGGCGGTTTTGGTTTAGCAGCAGGAGGGCCGGGTGGAGGAGGTCCAAGACCAGTTGGGTCGACAGATTCGTAGCCATCTTCCTCAGGAGGTGGTGGTGGTGGTGCTGGGGGTGGAGGAGGTCTAGGAGCCGGTTGGTCATGATATCCTGGTATTGTAGGAACTGTCTCGTCTCGTGACTGACCACCACGAGAAACATCATCTCGAGGACGAGGAGCTTCTTCTCGAGATCGAGGAGCTTCTTCACGGGATCGAGGAGCTTCTTCACGAGATCGTGGAGCATCGTCATCCGCGGATGCACTGGCTTTACCCTCTGCCACAACAGTGCCAGAACCTTCTTCACCCATCGGCTGCAACAAAAAAATTGCCAAATCAAACAAATACCCAAGAAAAATTTCACTTATTGTAAAAAACTTTTCTTATTCTAAAAAGTTCCAGTGGCGCTCACGTGTGAAGCGCGTTTATTGATTAAGCGCGTAAAATCAATATCTGTTCCCACTCGTTTGCGTGAAAGGAACGAGCCAGCCGAGAGAGGGACTAACCTCACTGGAGTCTCTGTACCTCAGTTTCGTATTCTTGCGCTTGGATTCCATAGAATTGAACAGACCGTATGCCATAATAAGCATAATCAAGGGGACAATTCCACCAACTATTGTCACTTGAAACACGAAACTATCATCTTCAATTTTTCCCTGTCTGAAAACGAAGTAATCAACATTAAAGGTTTATGATAAATCGCGCTATGCTGTCAATTTACCTCTAGAATTGACTGGATCTTGAAAGACCCGCCCACCCAGTTAGGTGTAAAGTTCAAGGTATATTTCGCTATGGGAAGAACGTGGGCGTTTGCAAAAAAAATGTGAAATCCTATGTGCCTTAAGAATTATATTTAATTAAGAAGAACCTGTCTTGGGAGGTGCTCTGCCCTTTGGTCTGACTTCTTTAGACTTTTTCTTGCCCTTCTGTGCGGCTACTCCTTTAGGTGGGGGTTTCTGTTTGGTAACCTTGGGCATGAAGACTTCTTAGCTGGCGGTTTTGGTTTAGCAGCAGGAGGACCGGGTGGAGGAGGTCCAAGACTAGTTGGGTCAACAGATTCGTAGCCATCTTCCTCAGGAGGAGGTGGTGGAGGTCTAGGAGCGTGTTGGTCATGATATCCCGGTATAGTAGGAACTGTCTCTTCTCGTGACTGACCACCATGAGAAACATCATCTCGAGGACGAGGAGCTGAAGAGTGGGAAGAAGGCAAAAGGCTCCTCAGAAACGCTCTAGATCCGCCCCTTTCGTGTTTGTGTATGAGTTTTCCACTGTCTGGACGAGTGCACGTTTGTTTCATGCCAGCTTGAAGATATGGCGTGTCTCAGAGTTCAACTGCTCCAAGTTTATACCCCTCAACATACCTCCAGCAATATTCCCTCTTTTGAAAAGCAGGATAGAGGTACAAGCAAGGCACGTCCTGCCGCTGGGAGAATTTTCGGGGAATGCGCTCCCCTCCCGCCCCCAACCACCTTCCTAACCTTCTCAACTTTCCCCAGATTCCTCTCAACTTTTCCCCAATATTTCCAGAAACTTTTCAGTTTTTCCAATGTTTTGGCTGTCAAGCGGTGGAGGGAAGGGGAGAGAGGGGGTAGATATAATCGAAATCCCTGAGATCGGGTAGGCGTGGCTGCGTGCTTTTACTGAATCTGAAGATGGCTGTGCTTCTGGTTAGACATATTCATCTTGACACAATTGTGGTCGTGTCTCTGTCCAACACAGAACAAGGTGACAGTTGTCCCAGACTATATTCCATGAGTAACCCATTCCGTGCCTTGTTCAAATGCCACGCCTACTCTGTCTTAGGGATAAGGAGCGTGGTACATGTGAATTTCTCTCGACGGCAAGTATG